TTGCGTGATTAGCTAATTCTATAAACAACAGCCACCTGCGCTTATGCAAATCTCTTCAGTAAAATGAATGGAGCACTTCGACTGACTGGCATTTGTTTACATTCGTAAAAACAAGATTTAGCTATACAACTTCGCCGAGTGAAGATAGCTCAGTTGTAGAAGCTCTGACTGACACCAAATCGGCTGGGTTTCGATCTTAGCTCAAGGCATTTGGCTGTCTCGTCGCACTAAGGAGCTGTGAAACAGCACGGTCTGCAAATGACACACACACACACACACATATATATATATATTCTATAATAAATAGAAAGTACAGTAAGATATATAAACCGATATTTTTACAAAACAGTGCTTATAGAGAGAGTGTGTATATATATATATATATATATCCTCGTATGTATGCATTTCGGAGAAGAAATGTTCTCAATTCAATAAGTATAAGGTAAATAAACTGTCGAGTTTCTTGACGAAAGTTATGCTCAGGAAATATGACACTTCATGGGTATCTATTAATCAAACGCACGTCCACTGTCCATCTCCAAGAAACTTTAGACCAGCGTCCAGCTTGTGCCTAACAATAAAATCTAAGGTAACCATTGTCCTAAGAATGACGAGGGATTTCAACCCGTCGGCCATACACAACAGGTCTGATCGCTTTCCAGAATTATTTTACCAGTAAGAACGCATGGAATTTCCGTTTTGGTTCCAAAGTCTCACAAATGGTTTGAATGAGAAAGCAAGAGACATTACAAAAAATATCTTTTCGCCCAGAACAATATAGAGCGTTTTTTAGAGGTAGTAATGAAAAAATAAATAGAGGGTGGGCGAATAATTTCTTTATAAGTATGAGTTTACAAACAGAAAAAAAAATAATATTATATATACTGGTCCAAAACTTACTTTGTATACGCATATGTTTGAAAAGATATTTATTTTATACACTGTGAATTACATATACCTGCGTGCGTACTCAAGAGACCGTTTAATCATTTCACCCCAAGCAAGGCAATAAAGCCACTAAGATGCAAAGCGTCATCGAGTGTTAAGGAATGAGAGAATATATACTATTAAGAAGAGATAATAAAATAAGACAAATTCAAATGATAACGATTGACATTGCATTTCAATTTTTAAAGTTCAAAGTTGACTAGGAAGGAAGGAGCCTGAATAGAGTTCCACAAGCGAGAAGTACAATAGAAGAAACTGTTAACATAGAACTTACGGTTACATCTACCCAGTTCAGCTGTAAAATGAGACCTAACTACCAATCTAGTACTACGCTTAAATTTATAAGGTCTACACACAATAGAGGAAAGTTCGTCTGAAATTTTACCATGAAAGTATTTATAAAAATGGCACAGGAAGGCGACGTTACGTTGGTGGGAAAATGACTGAAGCCGAGATGCAAGGTCAGGACGAATAATATTGCAGATTCTTCTTTGGATTTTATCAGGGGTCTCTAAGTACATAGCAGGAGTAACAGACCAGATGTAACAACAATATTCAAAGCAAGAACTAATGGTAGATTTATATATATATAAAAGACTTACGTTGCTACAATCATTCAAACTTCTTCATAATACGCAGGAACACAACTGGTCATAATTACTATATGACCTACTAATAACAATATGACTCGCTAGAAACACACGTCAAATTCATTATATTACCTCAGCCGAACTTCTAGTGAATCCATTCTTAAAGAATCTAACATATGTTTGTCTAAAAAGAAAAACAACAAAAAAATAGTCTACGTAAAAACGTTCTCAAATCAATAGGTGAAAAACTATAAAACAAAACTAACATGAAACAGCCTGTCGCCTCTAAGTGTTGATTTCAATGTTCACTTTTATATTTACACACGCTCTATCTCTGATATTGCGCACTTTATCTCATAAATATAGCACACATTAAAACTATATTTCTTCATATATATATATATAAAATAGAAATTATTAGGATGATTTGATAATTATACTAAAGCAATTCACCGAGTATGATAGAAATCTCAACAGAATACAGAAAGCACTGGACGGCCATTTCGCCCTATGTTTAGGGACTCATCAGCAGTGCGCATCCACTACCGAGAATTGAAACCTTGACAGTTAGGTTGTCAAGCAAACATCATACCAACAGTTCCACTGGGCCTCGGTGACGAAGAGATTGCAAATCAGACTCAACAAAGCGTCGCTCGCTCACATATTCCGTGGTGGAACTCTTATTGAGCTCTCTCTAACTGTTTATTGTGACTCCTGGAGCCACGAAAATTCTGGAAAAGCCGCTCCCTCTAGAGCATTATGAAATTTTACACACACACACACACACACACACACACATACACATATATATATATATATATATATATATATATATATATATATATATATATATATATATATTAAGTATAGTCGTGGCCCTATGGCTAAGGGAATCACGGATGAGTTCCACCGCGGAATATGTGATCCAACAGCGCTATATCGGGTCAAATTCGCCACTTCTCCGTCATCGAGACCGTTGTTACAGTTGGTATGACGTTTACCTGATAACATAACTGACCGGGTTTCAATTCTCCGTAGTGGATACGCACTACTACTATTGAGTCCCAAATATAGAACGAAACGACCATCCAGTGCTTTTGTTGAGGTTTCTTCCACGCTCCATGAATTACTTATGATTATCTCAAATCCTCCTACTTTCTATCACATATATACGTGTGTGTGTGTATATATATACCATCTTCAAGAAGCGAGAGCAAGATCTAAAAGGTCAGTCAATCTCATCTCACAATCGTCACTCCATATGTGGCCTTCTTTGTACATCACTAATTGCCTTTTAAATGCCAAAAGATTATCGTAAAATTTTTATAAACTAAACCCATAAGCTGTCGATAGATCCTCATGGTCGAAACCGACTAAAGAGTCTATTATTAACATTTTTATTTATTTATTTATTTATTTATTTTTTTTTTTTATATATATATATATATATATATATATATATATATATATATATATATATATATATATATATATATATATATATATATATATATATATATTCAGTTGTATGGATATTAATTATTTCCTACATTGTATCCACATGTATTTGTGTATATATATATATATATATTCAGTTGTATGGATATTAGTTTGTGACCGTGCGTTTCATATATTTTTGTAAAAAAATCACCTAAATTATTTATTTTTTAAAAATTGGATCTATTTATGTATGTTTGACTATGTTTCGTAGTAGGAGGGAGAATTTTCTTCTGTAAATGCGTACACCCGTATGTACCCGTATGTATGTGTGTCCATGCGTATGAGAATGACACCTAAAATAAATACAGAAGTAGATAGTTACATTAAATCGAAAATTTACAAAGAAACTCTTAATTAAAGGCAATTAACATTAGCCATAAAGAAAAATACACACAAAATGTCTTTCACTTTTTTTTAAATTTTGGATCTAATGTAAACCATTTCGTTACCTGAAAATATTTCTCAAATTTTGCCTCAAAATATTTGAAGACGTAAATGTCGGCAAAAGAATTTATTTTTTTTGTTTTGTTATTCTTATGTTCATTTGTCTTATCCACAGATGTGCTCATTTTAATATATATATTTATATATATATATAACTGTTGTGTAAATTTTGTGAAAAGTGTATAAGTATATAAATATTAAATATATATATATATATATATATATATATATATTATATATTATATTCAATGTAAATACAAATTAGAACATTTTTAATATCATTCAATAATGTTAATATATTTGTCTGTTTGATGCATATTTGAAAATTTTGGATTTCGTCAGCTTATGATAAAAATGAAAAAAGGTCACAGACCTCATCAATATAATATATATATATATATATATATATATATATATATATATATATATATATATAAGATTTGCTAAAATCTAGCATGCACGAGGAATAGATGCCGAAAACATAATAAAAACACATTTCTATCGTCAAAATATTTCTGTTATTCTTAAGGAGAAAGACCAAATGAATTTAGTTGTAAAAATTAATTTTTATAACCTTCAAAATATATGTTAAAACCTTGTTTTTCTAATCAATTATTATGGGAAATTCGTGTGGCTTTTTGTGATGAAAGACACATTGATTATAAATTCTTGCAAAACTCAGATAATTGTTGAATTTAATTGAAACTTTCAGGACTTATTTATAAATGAATTAAATTATTTTTTAAATGTTTAGAAAAACTTGGTAATATATAAGCCATTATCAAAGATGAAATTACATCACAATATATTAAACAATACACGGACAAAACAATAATGAGAGTCTGTTTAAGTTTACATTGAATATGTGTGTGTTCTAGAACCATATATATATATATATATATATATATATATATAAAATATTGTTATTAGTGGCCAATATCATACAAATTTATTGATTTGCCACCTTCCTTTAAACTCATTACAAATACAGCATCTCGTCACACTAAATTTCACGAGCGATCAAAAAACAACTATCAACAGGAAACAAATATTATTGTATAAGTTGAGGTGCGTGTCGAAAAGGACCTCCAATCGATCGTGAACTGGGGCAGGATTTGGCTGGTCAACTTTAATGCCTCAAAAAAAACAAAAAAAACTGCTCTCTATTAATCACCACAGAGATCCTTCCCTGCCCCCCATTAGAATGTCTGATAGCCAACTTCTTGAGAGCACCTCTCTGCGGCTGCTCGGTCTCACGTTGACTGCTGACCTGAGATGGAACAAATACATTGAGTCAATTGCTTCGTCCACCGCAAGGAAAGTTGGCTCCTTGTGCCGCGCCAGGAAATTTTTCTCCCGGAATCGATCCTTCAAATATACAAATCAACCATTCACCCTTGCATGGAGTATTGCTGCCATATATGGTCTGGAGCCCCTTCTGTTTGCCTCAGGGTTCTTGATAAGATCCAGAGGCGGATATGCAATATAATTGGCCCTGATCTGGCATCTCGTCTACAGTCACTCTCTCACAGACGCGCCGTCGCCTCTCTCTGTCTTTTTTTACAAATACTTTCATGGTAATTGCTCCGATGAGCTGCTTTCACTGGTTCCCAGACTTCATGAATTCAAGCGCCCTACGAGGCTGGCATCCCGCTCACCCTTTCACTGTCGAAACTTTTAAATGTAGCCGTCTCTTCTACTCCAATAGCTTCATATCTCGCACCTCTCGCCTGTGGAACACCCTTCCCAATTCCTGTTTCCCTGAGAGCTATAATCTCCAACTATTCAAATGTAATGTCAATCGACATCTCCAGTTACCTTGATCTATCCACTATCCTTCTCCTCATCCTTTCTTCTATCACTCCTATCTGCTCTTGCTCCAAATCTTCTGTAACCCCCCCCTGCATCCTAGTGGCTTCCCGCCTTGCTTGGGGTGAAATGCTTAAAAAAAAAAAAAAAAAAAATTATTTGATTCAATTATCTTTTTAAAATTTTTAAAAATATATATATTATATATATTATGGATATTATATATATATATTTTTAAAAGATCGTTCATTGGATATTTTTATTTTTGGTTTTTATTATATATTAAAAAAAAAAAAAAAAAAAAAAAATTAAAAAATATATACATAATAAAATTTATATAAATTAAAAAAATAAGGCTAAATAAAAAAAAATAAAATTTCCCAACTTTAAAAAATATAGATATTATTTATTTTTATTTAACATATATAGGAAAAATGACAACAAATGTCAATAAGTAAAAATAAATATTTTTTGCAGTTTTTTTTTTTTTTTTATGTTTAATTATTTTAATATTAATATTAAATATTAATTTCAAATGCACCAGTTTTCTAAAAAAAAAAAAAATTCTTTTAAAATAAATGTAAAAAAAAACAACAACTTTGGAATTATTTCTTCTTGTAAACATTTAAAAATATCCTTTAAATGTTTTTATAATATATATTATATTATATATTTTATATATATATATATAAAAAATTTCACATTTTATTTAAACTTCTTTTCTCTCTCTTAAATGGAGTATATCAATTGAGACCTTGTTCCCGAGCATATTGATATATTTTATATTTATAACTGATTTTTTAAATCTTTTTCATTCATTTGATTCATTCATCTCTCTCTCTATTATCACACACACACATACATATATTTGCACAAACAATTCCTAACTTTAATGATTTAATTATTTATATATCATATATATATTTATATTTATTGTTATAAAAAAACAAAAATTAAATTTTTAATATTGATATATCCAATATAAAACATAATTAACTATATTATAAACTTATTGAATATTATATAATATTTTTTAAATTTATATATTTTCAATATATATATTTTATATATATATTTATTATATATATATTCATTCATAGTATTCTTGTTAAATTATTTTCTTTTTTTTATCAATATTTTTAAAAAAAAAATAAAACTCAATTTTTCATTAATTACAGTTAAATGATATTTTTGTTTTAATATCCGAAAAATAACATTTGTAGAAATAAATTCCTCAATCTATTATATTTTTTCAGTAATTCTAAATATATCATCATTATATAAATCTATATTTTTTTTTATCGGGTCTGTCATGATTGACATATTTATCCATTGCTATTCCATTTAATGCGCAAATCAATATTAAAAAAAAAATTTGATTTTAATCAAACCAAATTTTTTTTAATTTTCTATTATAACTATGTTTAATGACATAAATGAAATATCTATTTATTTCTTTATTATCTATTTATTTATTTATTGAAACTATGTTCATATTTTAAAGAAATTCATCAAATATTTCAGGTCTATTATATCATTTGAAAACGTTAAAAATCCTTCTATGACGAATAAATATCTATCTGTTATCTTTTTTAAAATAAATATATAAAAAATATATCATTATGTAATGGAACTTCTTAATTGAAGATGTATCTATCTTTTATTTGTCTAAATTAATGAATAATAAAATGGGCAAATTTTTTTTGAAACTGTAGATTTTATATTTAAATATTTGTTAATATATATATATATAAATATATATTTGTAAAAATTATTATGTAAATATAAATTTTTTAAATAAAATATAAATATATATATATATATAAAAATATATATATTTTTTTGTTTTGTAAAAAAAATAAATTTTTTATTTAAATTATTAAAATTATACATACTTTTTAAAAAAAATTATTAAATAAATTGTTGGTTTTTCAAAATTGTTCAATATTTGATTTTATCTCAAATTTGAATTTTTTTTAAAACCCTTTTAATTTTTCTTTGTAAATGGTAATATGTATTTTTTAGATGGCATTAAAACAAATAAAATTTAAAAAAATTTTATTTTCAGATAAATAAAAACTGAAAATGACCTATAAAAAATTAAAAAAAAAAAATAATCCATAAAAAATTTTTAAAATATTTTAAATATTTTTTTTTTTTTTATTTTAATACAAAATAATATACAAATTTGGTTTGGTTTGATTTTGCTTTAAATTACATGATATCTTTTTAATTAATGTCTTCTGATTGTCTTATAAAAATATAAAATTTTAAATTTTCAATGTAACATCTTATTGAATGTTATCCTAAAAAAATTTTTTTAAAAATGAAGATTTAAATTATTTTGTCAAAAACCATTTAAATATTCTGGCTTTTTAAATCTTTAGTTATCTTTTTTAATTTTTTTTTTTTTTATGTGTTATAAAATCAAAAATTTTTATTTTCCATTTTTAAACTGTTTTTAAATATTTATTTAATATTTTATATGATTTATTGGAAACGAAATATTTTTAAAAAAATTTCAAACAGATAAAAAAGTTTTTTTATTTTAAATTAAATTATTTCGTGTCTATTGCGTTTGTATGTTGCAGTGACCATGGTTAGAAAAAGTATAATGTCTGAAAAAAAATTTTAATATATTTTTTTTTTCGATCTTTACAAATTTTTCCCATTTTTTGTTTTGTTATTTTTAAGACATTATTTTTAAAGAAAATGTTAAAAAAAAGAAAAAAAAAAAAAGAAGAAAAAAAAAGAAAGATAAAGAATCATAGCAGAAAGATCATTTAAGATAAAAAATTTGAATGAAAATTTTATTCAATATTTTCAATTTTTTTATAGGACAAACCAAAAAAAAAAAAAAAAAAAAAAGAAAAATTGAAATAAATGAAAAAAATAAACAAAAAATTATGAAAATTTAAGAAAGAAAAAAAATCTTTTGCCAAAAAAAATAAAAAAACATTTTAATCTTTTTTATAGTAAAAATATGAAAATCCAGTTCGTCAAAATCTTCTTTCAACTTAATATTTATATATATATTTTATCAAAAATTTAACCAAAAAAATTGAAAGAAAGAAATTATTTTATGAAAGAAAAAATTTTTTGAAAGAAATATTTTTTGAAAAAATTTTATCATAAAGAAAAGAATTTGGATTTAAAAAAAAAAAAAGTAATATTTATGGTTTTATAATTATTAAAGTCGTAATGAAAATAAATTTTGAAATAAATAAAAAATTTTTTTTTTTAAAACAGACTTTAAATGAAAAAAAGAAAGAAAGAAAGAAAAAAAAAAAAGAAAGAAAAAAAAGACAATAAGATGGAAAAATCTCGGAATGGCAGGCATAAATATAAATATTTTAAAGCAAGAAAAAAAAGGTAATTCCCGGCCAGAAAGAAAGAAAGAAACAAGAAAAAGAAAAAGAAAAGAGAGATTGAGAGAAAAACATAACAGATGGAAAAATCTTTAATTTTTTTGAAATTGAATTATTGACAGAAATTTGAAAAGTAAGAAAAAGAAAATTTAGTTTGAAAGAAAAAAAAAAATATAGAAAAATAAAAAAGTTTTTTCATTTTTTCAAAAAATATATATAAAAATTTTATTTTAATTCTGATTTTTTAAAAAGAGATAAATTTAAAAAAATGATAAAATTTCGTTTCTCGTATTTGGTATCGCTTTTTATAAAATATACCTAAAATATTAATTCGGTTTTTAAAAAAATTTTCCAAAATTTTTTAAAATGATTAAAAAAAAAAATTAAAAATTTGTGAATTAATTTGTTTTTAAATTACATTTTTTTGAACATAATTTTATCTTTAATTTTTAGAAATTGAAAATTAAAAATATAAATGTCTGTGGTTAAGAAATAAAAAAAAATTTGTCAATTTTAAAGAAACACATGTAAATCAAATAAATTTTAATATTTTAAAATAATTTTAAGAATTTAAAAAATTTATATAAATAATATGCCAATTTAAAAAAATTTAATTTAAATGGATTATTGCTTAAAAATTTCATAATAAAATGAAATAATATATAATTTAAAAATTAAAATTTTATAAAAATATTTAAATAAAAAATATAAAATTTAAAAAAAGAAAAAATATATAAAAAATTTAAAAATATTTGAAAAAAAATGCATTCCTTTTAGTACTGATTAAAATTCAATGTGAAAAGAAGAAAAAAAATTTTTACCTTTTAAAGAAAAAAAAAAAAAAAATAATGACAAAAAAAAAAGAAAAAAAACCTTTTTCTCCTGCCTATTTTGGCAAATCTGTTTCTAATTTTTGAATTTCAAAAAATTTAAAATAAATGCAAATAGTATATTTATTTGAAGAAATGTAAAAGTTATTTTTATCAAATAAAATTTTCTAAAAAAAAAAAATCTGTAACAAATTTTGGCTATCCTGAAAATACATAATTTAAAAAATGAATTAATTTGAATAAATTTTTTTTGAAAGTCGTTGCTATAACTTTAAATAGTTCTAATTTTCGATGTGAATTATGTTCAATTTAAAAGCTGAAGATTTTTTCATTAAAAAAAATAATGATTAAGAATGTTATTAAATTTTCTTTTTAATCAATTTTAATAATTTTGAAAGAAAAAAAAAAAAAATAATAATGATTTTTAGTTAATTAAACTGTTGGTTATTCCAAAAAACTCAAATTCATTATTTATTGTTTGAATGTTAAAAATGTGATCATTAAATATTTGAAAAATTAATAATCCAAATCTTGCTCCTGTATTGGAAAAAGAAAAATAATTCTTATTCATAAGAATAAAATAAGATAAAATTTTTTTTTTTTTAAGCATTTCACCCCAAGCAAGGCGGGATGCCACTAGCACGCAAGGGGTTACAGAGAGTGGGAGCGAGAGTAAAGAGGCGTGATAGAGGAAAGAGAAGGACAGGGAATAGATCAAGGCATCTGGAGATGTCGATTGACATTACATTTGAATAGTTGGAGATTATAGCTATCAGGGAAACAAGTAATAGGAAGGAAATTCCACAGACGGGAGGTGCGAGACATGAAGCTATTGGAGTAGAAGAGACGGTTGCATTTAACTATTTCGACAGTGAAAGGGTGGGGCCGAGATGCCAGCCTAGTAGCACGTTTAAATTCATGCAGTCTGGGAACGAGCGAAAGTAGGTCGTCGGAGCAGTTAACGTGAAAGTATTTGTAGAAAAGACAGAGGGAAGCGACGATACGTCTGTGAGAGAGAGAGAGACTGTAGATGAGATGCCAGATCAGGGCCAATTACATTGCATATCAATCTCTAGATTTTATCGAAGACCTTTAGACGAACAGCGAGGGCACCAGACCATATATGGCAGCAGTATTCCATGCAAGGGCGAATGGTTGATTTATAAATTTGAAGGATGGACTCGGGCGAGAAAAACTTTCTGTTGTGACACTGGGAACCAACTTTCCTTGCGGTGGATGAAGCTATTGATTCAATGCATTTGTTCCATCTCAGGTCAGCAGACAGTGTGAGACCAAGTAGTCGCAAAGAGGTGCTCTCATGGAGTTGAGCATCAGTTATTCTAATGGGAGACAGGGATGGTTCCTTGTGATGAGTAATAGAGAGCAGTTAACCAGCCAATTCCTGCCCCAGTTCACAATCGATTGGAGGTCCTTTACGAGACCAACGGCCAGGTTAGTTTTGTCAGTGATACGAGATTTGCTTTTGAGGTAGGAGTAAATAGTTGTGTCGTCTTCACAGATGCCTACTTGGGAACTGATGACATCAGGAAGATCGTTAATGAAGATAAGGAACAGAGTAAGGCCCTTGGGGAACACCTGCGTCCGTGGGAAAAGAACTGGAGGAGAATCCGTTAGGCACGACATTCATTACACGGTTTGACAGGAATGCTCGTATTAAGTCAAATCATCGACCTGAAATTCCGTATCTCTGAGGCTTACGAAGGAGGCCTGCATGCTAAACCCAAGCGCTTTATAGATATCTAGAGCCACGGTACAAGCTTCTCCGTTATTGTGAAGTGCTTGGTAAACAATTTCAGTTATGGCCGTGAGCACATCAGCTGTAGATCTGGCAAAGCGGAAACCATATTGCTTGTCTGAGAGCAGATCATGGGATGTAAGGTGGTTAACCACTTCGGTATTGATTAAAGCTTCAAAGACTTTTGCGAAGAGGGTAGGAGACTGATAGGACGGTAGTTAGATGGGTCAGAAGGGTCTCCAGAGTTCTTAAAGACAGGAACAATCGATGAGGACTTCCAACAGACTGGAAAACAAGATTCATTGAGGCAGTAGTTATATAATTTGGAGAGGGTAAAAATAGTTCAGGCGCAAAATTTCTTCAAGACAATGGCTGGTATCCCATCTCCACCACTAGCCTTGTGGGGTTCTAAATTAGAGATGATGCCCAATACCAATGACGGGGTTATGTGCAACCACTTAATAGAGCCTCAGTTCTAAGAGGGAAATCGGGTTTCGGGTACAACAGAAGAAAAAATCTCTTGAATTGGATGAGAATTTCTGTTTAAATTCATTGATTATTATCATTATACAGAGGAGGTCAGGACCTCAAACTGGTTGAACAAAGGAGGTATTTTTTGTTGTCTGTTGTTAAGTACACTCTTACAGAGACGCAATAATCCTTGGAAATAAATTTGCGAAAATGCAATATTTTAATTCATTCTTTTTCAGCAAATATCAGAACTTTTCATCATTGAGGACACACGCTGCATTCGTTTATTAGAGACAAAAGACGTCTATTTTCAGACATGTCATATCTAGACAAGAAGTGGTTCCTATAAGCAATGGCAGCTTTAAAATCAACAAAAAACAAGATATGAGATAACTTTAACTATATTTTCAGTACCAATATTGAAAGCCTTTATTTGTCTTTTTTTTTTATAATTAAATTATTAGTTTGTCTTGAACATTACTTTTTTACATCTTCCCAGGGGACATTATTTATTAAATATTATTCCCCATTCTTCGTTATTATATTGATAACAGAAAGATGTTCTGTTAAACAATTTATTTTTGGCTCTTTTATTGACTTAAATACAATAAACGGATCAAAATTTTTTTTACCAAAATGATCAATTTTTTCAAAATTTTATGAAGATTATCACAGGATGTCAGGGATTTTTTTCAAACACAGATTCAAATTGCAAGGAATATTTGTTAAGATTCCAGGGTTGTTGGGGAAACGCAGTATCAGGATTCAATATCATTATTTTTGATCAAATTGAAAAGTTTAGGGTATTTGAATGCCCAGGTCCAGTTGAAGAGTTTATAAATTTAAAATTTTTTTAAATTTTCACAAACTTGCTTCAAGAAACGGATTCATCATCTGTGAAAAATTGTCCAGAATAATGCTATTGACATATAAACTCTCAGTGATATTAATAACAGTTCAGTACTTTTTTTTTTGTTTTTTTGCTGAAACAAACTTCTTCATTCACTATAGATTGTCCAGTTCACTGGTAAATATTTCAGGAATGGAGAACGTATATCGATAACATTTCAAATCACCTTTTCTTTTCATGTGCTGTAGAGGAATGTCAGACGAGAAGATGTTCAAAGAAAATAAACAGAACCTAAACGTAAAAAAAAAAAAGGCTGGATGTTAAAAATTCTAATGTTTTTTCGAACTATTTACTCAGTAGTTTGATCTAAAGAAAAGCTTTGATCAAAATACCAGAGTCTTTAGTATAATTTATATTTTATATTATATTTTTTTTTTAAATGTCATGTTTCATTTAAATGATGTGAATATTATTTTTAAATATATTTTAAAAAAAAATATTAACGGATTGTCAAACAAAGTGTGCATCATATTTTTCCAGGATAGATGAACAATCATGATGGACATCTGATGCATTATATATACAATATAATTAAAGTAATATATTTAATTATATAATTATAATATTTAAAAATTATCTTATTTTGGCCAAAAGGAGAAAGCTTTTTGGAAAATTAATGTGTTTCTTTATAAAAATAATATAAATTGAAAACATTCATTTTAAATTTTTTTAAAAAACATCCAAAGAAAAAAAGAAATTATTTTTTTCAAAACGCTTTAATAGAAAATTTTAATTAAATATCAAAATATTGATTGATTTTTTTTTGATTTCCTAAATCTTGTCAGATTTTTAAATATTTATTTTTTTTTTGCAACGTTTGAGTTGTTTTTTTATTTTTGTTGTTTATTTGAAATTATTTTCGTGTTTTTAAATATTTTGTTAACCACTTTTGTTTTAGTTTTCATTTTTATCGTATTTTTTTTTTTTATTTCATCAAATAGTTAGTCATTGCTTATGTTAAAATACTCAAGAAAAATTTTTAAAAAACAGTCGAATTACGTATTTCATTTAATTTTTATCTTTTGTATCTATTTTTTTTATTATCTTTCAGATTTTATTTGTCAATCTAAAATTCCTTCAATTGCCCATTTGAATATATTTATCAATCTATATAATAATCTTTTTTTCAATTTGCTAGTGGTTATAATTATTATCTATTTATTATCTATATATTTATCTATCTATCTATATATTCTCAATATATTTTCATGATATATGTATTTAATTATATATCTATTCATTCTCTATCTATCTATTCCAGTCTGTCATTATATAATTCATCTATCTATTATCATTCATTTTCTTCTATCTTTTTATGCAATGTATCCTAATCTGTTCAAAAATGTTCAAAAAAATCTGTCAGATAAATTTCCAAATCTAAAAGTTAAATCTTGAATAAACTATTCTTTTATCTAATAAAATAATGAGGCAATTTATTATCTTATATAATGTTTGTCTATTTATCTATTTACAATTATTGAATCTAATTTTTGAAATTTTCTTCATGTTATTGTTAAATTTTTAATTTCTTCCTATATGTATTGAAAAGAATCTAAAATAACTATTTCCTGGTCTAATTTTCTCTAGCAGCAATTTTGTTTTAAAATTTGTTATATAAATATATATATATATATATTTACAAAAGGTCATTCCTATAACTACCAAAAATATGTTTATATAACAAATTTAAAATTTGTGGTACATTTTTGATGGTTAGAGCGTGACAACAGTCCAAAAGAGAATCACTTAGATTTTTAAATGTCAAAGATTGTTGATTATGGAAGCTACTAAATATTTTGTCGGATGGCAAAATGAGAGGAAATTGTTAACTTAAAAAATCACCAATGGAATACGATGAATTTTCATGGTTCGTTTGATTTTTTCAAATTTAAAATATATATATATATATATCATATATAAATATATATATATATGATATATATATAGTAATTCTAATGACAATATTTCCTGCAAAGGGTGACGAGGAATTTGAATATTTCCATTTTCATTCTTTACTATTCAACAGATTTGTGAAAAATAAATAAATATTTTAAAAAAAAAAAAAAAAACGACCATTCATATGGTAAATCCACTAAAAAAAAAAAAATAAATATATATATATAATATATATATATATATATATATATTTATACATAAAACAAAAAAATTCAGTGTTAATATTTAAATAAGATAAAAAATTGATATACTTCTTATCCCACTTTTCAATCTATCTATCTATCTATCTATCTATCTATCTATCTATTTTTCTATCTAACTATCTATCTTTTCAATGGATATTTTTTTTATCCTATTGTGTAATCTTTAATTTATTCTTTCTGCAATTTTAATTTCTCTTTTTTTCTCTGTCTTAATCTAATTTTTAATCTTATTTTATCATTATTTTTTTATTTATCCAATTTTTAATGTGATTTAATATTCATTGTTATATTATCTATTTATCTATCTTCTATTGTTTTTCTATCTTTGATTCGTTTTTTTCAATCTGTTTATTATCTATCTAAAGATCTATTTCTATCCATCAAGAAAACATACAATTGAATAATGTTTAGATCTATCTAACGACATTCAGAAGCATCCCAAACTCTATTTCAATAGACATCCTCAAACATTCTAGAAAATCTATATTATCCCATTATTTATATTATGGTTAAAAAATATCAATCTATCTTTTCTCATTTAGTTACAACTTCTAGTTTAACATTTTTAATTGGATCGCTTTTGTAATTTATTTCAAATCTTTTTCAATGAAAATTATCTAATTTTTGATATCCCCCGTCAAAAATTCATAGTGCGTTTATTTCTTGTTTATAAGGAAGCCGTATTTTTTTGAGAGATATTTTTCAAAAGACCTAGATCAAAAAAAAAAAAAAATAAATATTTTATACACTTGATTAAATTTAAAAATTTCCGAAACCTAACACATAAACACACACACACACACACACACACACACACACATACATATATATATATATATATATATATATATATATATATATATATATATATATATATATATATGCCAAAAAAAATTATTTCAAATTGTTAATTTTTTCAAAATTGTCCAATTGTTAGATTAAAAATTAAACCATTTCATCACTTATATTTGATTCATTATTCATCTTTATTATATCGAAATTTGAAAATATTTTATTTATAATTTCAATCTTTTTTAGCTTCAATCAAAAATATAAATTAAATACTTAAAAATCATCTCGTTAATACTTATTTCTGGGATTGAATATATTCTGAAATAAGGAATAATATCCTGCTGGAAAATTTGATACCCAAATACATTTTTTAAAGAGAAATTTTGGATATTTTTCGATATTTATTTAGTTTCAAAAATTATCTTTTAAATTCATCTATTTTATTAAGAGTTACCATCTCATCGCGGATGACAAAAATCTTTATTCCTATATAAAATAAATCTAGTATCATATATAAATACCTACCTATATATGCGTCTCAAAAAGGACCTCCAATCGGTTTGTGAACTGGGGCAGGAATTGGCTGGTCAACTTTAATGCTTCAAAAAAAAAACTGCTCTCTATTAATCACCACAGAGATCCTTCCCTTCCCTCCATTAGAATGTCTGACGCTCAACTTCTCGAGAGCAACTCTCTGCGGCTGCTCGGTCTCACGTTGACTGCTGACCTGAGATGGAACAAATACATTGAGTCAATTGCCTCGTCCACCGCAAGGAAAGTTGGCTCCTGTGCCGCGCCAGGAAATTTTTCTCCCCGGAATCGATCCTTCAAATCTACAAATCAACAATTCGCCCTTGCATGGAGTATTGCTGCCATATATGGTCTGGAGCCCATTCTGTTTGCCTCGGGGTTCTTGATAGGCTCCAGAGGCGGATATGCAATATAACTGACCCTGATCTGGCATCTCGTCTACAGTCACTTTCTCACAGACGCGCCGTCGCCTCCCTCTGTCTGTTTTACAAATACTTTCATGGTAATTGCTCCGATGAGCTGCATTCGCTGGTTCCCAGACTTCATGAGTTCAAGCGCCCTACGAGGCTGACATCCCGCTCTCACCCCGTCACTGACGAAACTCCTAAATGTAGCCGTCTCTTCTACTCCAATAGCTTCATGTCTCGCACCTCTCGCCTCCAGCTATTCAAATGTAATGTCAATCGATATCTCCAGTTGCCTTGATCTATCCACTACCCTTCTCCTCACCCTTTCTTCTATCACTCCTATCTGATCTTGCTCCAAATTTTCTGTAACCCCTTGCGTCCCGCCTTGCTTGGGGTGAAACGCTTAAAAAAATAAGAGTTTGTAAGAGATGGTAAAAAGGCAAAAGATAGTACTGTAAACGACAAGAAATTGTGGAGAGCCATGATCAAAACGTCCTGAATGGTTTATTTTGTGTTTATTTCAAACTCATTGTGGAAATTTTATGTTTTTGTAGGTTCTTTCGACAAATTAACCTTAATTCTTTGACCTCTTTGAATGTAACTGATTATTATTAACCCTTACGCCTTTTTATTTTTTAATAATTGTTCTATATTTCTTTTTAAATTTACTGGGTTTTAAATGAACTGCAAAAAAAAAATCATAATTCACGTTTTTAAATCAAAAAGAAATCCATTCATTCAGATCAATCCAAATTTTAAGGTTCATTATCAATTTTTTTTTGATGTATCAGTTATTAGAATTAATATTGAAGAAAAAATATTATCTGGGATGAAGGGTTTTATATGCCTTTAAAATCCAGTAATTTTGAAAATAAAATATATTTAAAAACTGTTTTGCTTGAAAATGAAAATGAACTAATGTCTTTAATTTAACTATAAAATTTTAAATTTATCAGATTTTAGCATCCATTTTGAAACATGGTTAGAACTGTGTATGACCAAAAAAAACATATTCTAAATTTATTAATTTAGTTAATTTATAATATTAATGTTCTGTAAATTTATATTGATACACATTTTTTTTGACAAAAAAATATTTCATTCAATTGATTATATATTTAATTTTTTTTTTTTTTTATATATATATATATATATATATATATATATATATATATATATATATATATTGGTTGGTAATTTTACTTATCAAATTTTTTGTTTTAAAAATTTTGTTTTGTTCATTTTAATTATACGTTATATTATAATCATTTAAAAAATGTTATTGTTGAATTGTTTATTTCTTTTTTTCATAATAAATATTGTTTATATTACGCCTTATAATTATGCACTAACTGTTATATATATTTAGATTTTTTTCATGACGGTCGTCCTCTTTGTATAGAATCCAGAGGTTTACAGTGAATATTTCGGAGACAGTAGGTTTCATTTCTAATTCAAATTTTCGATGTATATATATCACAGCAGATTTTTTTCTTCCTTCTGTCGTGTTCGCCTGATAAAAATAAGCTTTGGTCCTTCCGGAAGGAAATATTAGATGTTGCCTTTATACACGACGGATACGATATTCAGCGGCTCCTGATTAGTTAATCTTCTATTGGTAGACTATAAAATATAAAGTCATTCTGACTCGCTACTAGTCATATATAATATATACCCCAAAAATAAAAATATATATATATATATATATATATATATATATATATATATATATATATTTATATATTAAAATATAAAATTTATTTGAAATTGTCCAAATTTTTGTAACAGTAAAATTGTCCATTCTTTACTTTAAGATTTGAACCGTTGTATCTTAGAGAAATGATTAAAGATATTTAGATTGAGGTTTTTCTAACATTATTGGAAATATGAAATAATTTTTTAAAAAAATATTTATGGTCAATATTATCCACTTAGAGCAATTGATTTAAAAACATACGGCTGCAACAAACAAATATTTTTTTTTTTGTTTCATTAAATATTTAAACCATTGTATCTTAGAAATGATTAAAGATATCTTACTGGAATTCTCTGAGGTTTTTATAACATTATTAGACTCTACTTTTGAATAATAAGAATGTATAATTACTCTCCAAGCTTAACAGAAGAATCGTGATGAAATTGATCATAAAACGAAAATGACATATTTATCATTAATTAATCATTGGTAAGGATATATAAAAACTCATTTTGAGGAATGATATATATATATATATATATATATATATATATATATATATATATATATATATATATATATTATTTCAGGATTCCCTTCCAAAAATTATATATATTTATCTTTTGCCCTCTTTTTCCTCTAAAAATATTTCCTTTTCTTTTATTATATAGAATAAACCAATTTTTGTCTTAAATTATAAATAATGTCCTATGGCGAAACGTAAATATCTCAAATATAGAAAAAATTGACTTTTTAGTTCGGTTTCCTTTTTACAAATTAAACATATTGTGGGATGGACAATTATCCGATACTGATACAAATTTGGAAATTTGTATAGTTAAATAAATTTACATACACACACACACACACACACACACACACACACATATATATATATATATATATAAACAAATGTTTGAATAAACAAAATTTATAAATAGTTTTTTAATATTGATGTCCATTGATTTTAAAATTTTTTAGTCTTTTTATTTTCAGCCAACATCTCATCAGGAGACAATTAGGTTGGATTAAAAGAAAAGAAATTAACGATATTAAAAGAGCAAAAAAAAAAAATTAAAAATTTAGACTTTTTTCATTTAAAAAAATTTTACAATTTGAGTTTTAAACATTGAACACACACACACACACACACACACACACACACACAAATATGTTATATATATATATATATATATATATATATATATATATATATATATATATATATATATATATATATATATATATATATATATATATATATATAGAAATAGAACAACACATTGATATATACAATGATGTTCATTGTTATTCATTTATATTTTATTATTTATTTTGAAAAGTATCATTATTTTTTATTTTTTTCATTTTATTTATTATTTATATATATATTTTATATATATATATATATATATATATATATATATATATATATATAATTTTTGAAGAATCTTTTTAAGAGAGAGAAAAATTATATATATTCCCAAATATATCTTTATATTTTTATTCAATATTGTCCCAATTTGTTTAAAATATTCCTTGGTCACTATTGTTATTTAACAATTCCAGTAGTCCACCACTATCAGTGGTTTACCTACTAACGTCGTTGGTATTTTATTTAGTTGATGAACTATGATTTAACATTTGTTTCCAATTTCCAGTTTTTTGGTTTAAAATCATTTTCTTATTCAGTAACATTTTCTTGCTTATTCATTTTTACACACACACACACACACACACACACACACACACACACAATTTATATATTTATATATAATATATATATATATATATATATATATATAAAACCAAAGAAGATAGAAACAAATTTTTATTCCGAGGCTGGACAGTAAAATCAACTCGTGTTCTAATATTTTTTAATCATACATATTAAAATATTTGATTTAATATTTTTCAGGTAACTTAAATAAATTTTTATATCTTTAAAGCTTGGGATGCGTCGTCACTCCCAAGTGAATTCGGCCCGCCAATTATTTTATACTAACGATGATTTAAAGATTTTTTAATTTAAATTTCAGGATTGACCAATGGAAATTCAATCATCAATAAAAAATTTTAACATTAGAAATTCTTTTTTTTTTTCCATATTCTTAAATTCTGACGAAGATTAATAAAAAGTTTTATTCTTAGATTGATAGATAATGACATCAATAAAAGATATAATTACAATTTTTCGTATTGAGGTTGATAGATGATAATTAACTTTAATATTTTTCAATAGATAGATAGATAGATAGATAGATTTGAATTTATTTTAGATAGATAGATAGATAATAAAAGATAGATAATAGATAATTAGATAGATAATTTCATCGACAAATAGATAAACAAAATTTTTGACAGATATATAATTTTTTTAGATAATTTAAATTTTTTAGATTTAGATAGATAATAGATAGATAGATTTTCATCGAAAATTCAAAATGATAGATTTTTATTCATAGATTATTATTTTAGATAATGAACAACTGTGTTAGATAGATAGATAGATAGATAGATTTCTAAATAGATAGATAATGAACGTAGATACTGTTTTCACGACAGTATACATGCTTTAGATAAATATAAGAACGTTTATTGTAAATCATTTTTTTTATCTTAAAATTGTATTAATTTTAATTAACGTATTTAATGATTCCTTCTTATGATAGGCCTTACGTATTTTTTTTCACTCTACTTTTGTCTGTCTGTTTGTCCCTACCATCGTTCATTTCATGCAGTATATTTTTTTATTTCGTATGTCTGAAAAAAAAAACTTTGACAGGCATGAATGATTGATTTTTATATGTCTTTTTTCAAACCTTTAAAATTTTTTTAAGTTTAAATTTCCTTTTCTTAAATAAATTTTTAAATTTTGTTATTATGATTCTTTTGTTTGTCCGGAAGAAATTCCAAATTGATGTCCGCTGAGTACAGACCGAAGCTTAGCAGGAACCCCGACATTGGCCGTCGCTAACGCCTGGTAACGTAGTGACACTGCAAACATCCGTTGTTTGCCTCCGGAATTAACCTCTTAACATCAGTGCTTCTCAACGGCACACCTAGAAGAAAATGAAAAGACCACGGCTCACATAGCAATTTTTTTTTTTGGTCGAAATTGCGATCAAGATTAACATTTTTTTTTTTTTTAGTTGAACAAGTTTTTTGTTTCTTTTATTTTTGATGTTATTTAAGATCGAGAAGCCTAATTCACATAAATAAGAATTAGAAAACTGATAAAGCCTTTTTAGCTAAAGTGGGATATTCCTTTTGTATAGAAATTCAAAATATATCGATGGCTGCCATCGAATAATTTATTTTGAACTCTTTTTCATAAGAAATGGTAGTTATTCTTCTTCTTCTAGTTTTCCTCCTCTTTTAATCTTCTTCTTACACTTGATAAACTGATGTCCAATATTAGAAAAAACATTTATGAAGGAAAAATTTGATCTAATCATACTTTTCTATTCTCAATGACGGAAATTAATAATCGATGTTTTCGTTGAGCACTTTCATTACTACTTCCACACACACGCATATATATATATATATATATATATATATATATATATATATATATATATATATATATTATTCCGTTGCAATATTTCACGACATGCTTAAGGGGTTTTTGCAAGGCACCTAATGTCATATTTTCCAGTTATTACCCTACATCAAGTGTATCTCAAGCTTTTTAAGCAAGGGTACACTTAGAAGTAAATGAAAATATTACAGCAGATTTAGCAAAATTTTTAAAGGGTATATATTTAAATATTATGTAATAAAACCATAGATTTTTTTAAAAAATCACACATAAATATGAATTTATTTCAATGTTTCTATTCAATTATTTGTGCAGTTTATTTAGTGTGAAAACTGCCTGCTGTTTTTTCACGATTTCTTCAATGTTTGGTCGAAATTGCGATAAGCAGACCATTTCTTCTTCAGTTAATCACAGTCATTCTCGCTTCTTTTTGATGTTATTTACGGTTGAGAAGCCCAATTCACATAAATAAGAAGTAGAAAATTGCAATAAAACTTATAAAGCCTTTTTTTTAGCTAATATGGGATATTTCTTTTGTATTGAAATCCAGAATGTATAAATGGCTACCGTCGAATGTTTTATTTTGTCGAAGGTATTCCAGCATTTTCGATAGAACTATCAATAATTGAAATTGCTTTATTTTTTTTTTACTAAAGACATTGTTATAAATTAATACAGAGTTTCTCAACCTTTTTAAGCAACAGCACACGTAGAAAAAACGAAAATATCATGGATACTTTAGCAACATTTTTTTAGGGTATAAGTTTTAAATGTTACGAAATGAAACCATCTATTAAAAAAAAAACACTCACACAAATATAAACTTACTTTATTACAATGTTTCTATTCAATTCTTTGTGCAATTTATTTAGTGTGAAACATTTTCCTGGTGTTTTTTGGGGTTTTTTTTCAAGCGGTTGCCGAGGTGTAAATAAAATAGCACGGAACACTTATCAACATTTTTAAAGACTATACATTTAAATTGATTTTCTAAGGTATTAAATTGTGGCACAAGGCCGAAAGTATATACAACATCTAGTGAGGATCGAACTCACTATTCAGTCGTAACTGTTTTAAAAGAGACAAGCTAACGAACCATTAACCAACGCCAAAAGTGGACATATTTAAATGTTATAAAAATAAAACCATGGATTTAAAAAAAAACACACAAAAACAAATATTTTTCAGTTGAGTGTAGTTTTTCTTGCTTATTATTTTTTATATTATTTAGGGTTGAGAATCCGGTTTTTCATATAAATAAGAATTAGAAAATTGCAATAAAACTGATAAAACCTTTTTAGCTAAAGTGGGATATTCCCTTTGCAATGAAATTCAAAATATATCGATGGCTACCATCGAATATTTTATTTTGAACTCGATCATTAGAAATGGTGATCACGTCTTCTTTTTTCTTGTTCCTCCTTTCTTCTTCTTCTTCTTCCTCCTCCTCCTCTTCTTCTTCTTTTCTTCTTCTCCACCTTTTCTTCTTTTTTCTTTCCCCCTCTTCTTCTTCTTCCTCCTCCCTTTTTCCTTCTTCTTCCTCCTCCTCCTTTCTTCTTCCCTCCTCCTCCTTTCTTCTTCTTCTTCCTCCTCCTTTTTAATTCTTCTTCCTTTTTCCTCCCCTTTCTTCTTCTTCCCCTTTTCTTCTTCTCTTCCTCCTCCTCCCCCTTTTCCTCCTCCTCCTCCTCTTCTATTTCTTCCCCCTCTTCTTCTCCTCCTATTCTTCTTCCTCCTCCTCCTCCTCCTCCTCCTCCTCTTCTTCTTCTTCTTCTTCTTCTTCCTCCTTCTCTACTTCTTCTTCTCCCCCCCTCTTCTTCTTCTTCTTCTTCTTCCTCTTCCTCCTTTTCTTCTATTTTCATCCTCCTCCTCCTCCTCGGCCTCTTCTTCTTCTTCTTCCACATAACTGATGTCCAATATTAGAAGAAACTTTATAAAGGAATTTCGGATCTAATCATTTTTTTCCGTTCTTTCAAATTACTGCTTCCATACACACCTACATATATATATATATATATATATATATATATATATATATATATATTACAATGAATCATTCCCTACAAAAAAAAGTAAATTATAACGTTAATGATATGAAATTTAAATGCATCAAATTTTATATATATATATATATATATATATATATATATATATATATATATATATATATATATATATATATATATATATAAGACACACAAATTTATATATATATATATATAAGATAAGACACAGAGTGTGTTGAAACAAAATGGCTATTTTTTGTAGTGATTTTATAACATACTTATGTTATAATTTTTTTTTTATAAAAAATAATTATATATATATATATACCGTTGCTATATTTCACGGCATACTTAAGAGGTTCGCGCGGCAGCTGATGGTGTATTTTCCAGTTATTGCCCTACGCCAGTGTATCTCAATCTCTTTAAGCAAGGGTACACTTAGAAGAAAATAAAAATATAACGGCACTCATAGCAACATTTTTAAAGGGATACATTGAAATGCTATGAATTAAAACCATAGATTTAAAAAAAAATACACAGACACAAATATGAACTTAATTCATTTCAATGTTTCTATTCAACTATTTATGCAGCTTATTTAGTGTGTAAATTCTGCCTCGTGTTTTTTTTATGTGATTTCTTCAATGTTTGGTCGAATATGTGATAAACAGGCCCTCATTTTTTCTCCAGTTGAGGATAGTCTTTATCGCTTCTTATTTTTGATGTTATTTAGGATTGAGAAGCCTAATTCACGTGAAGAAGAAGTAGAAAATTTCAATAAAACATTTTTAGCTAAAGTGGGATATTCCTTTTCTACTGAAATTCAAAATGTAACATTGCTTACCGACCGTCGAATGTTTTATTTTGTGCCCTTGAAAAAGTAAAAATACTTTTTGAAAAATGAATATTAAAACGAAATACTTCCAATAGTCTGATCAAAGAATAATAAAAAGAATTATTTGAAAAATAGCTTAATATTTATTCATTTATACTAACGCTACTTCCTCACATAAATACATACATACATACATATATATATATCTTACTTATTATAAAACGCAGATTGTGTGTATGTGTGTGTCTGTACGTTTATATATTGGATCGGATTTCCTACATTTTTCAACTGATTTCAACAAAACTACACAGGACTGCGTAAAATTACCTTCCGGTGGTTCTAACAGCGCCAAAAATTGGAAAACAAATGGTTTTTGCACGAAATCAATTTGAAAACGCAATAAAACACGATTCTGTCGCCAGAATGAAAAAGGAACAACTCATATCGAGTTATATTATTATAAAAACCCAGGTTGTTTGCGTGTGTGTGTGTGTGTGTGTGTTTATATATGGGATCGATTTCCTACATTTTTCAACCGATTTCAACAAAAACTTCACAGGACTACGTAAAATTACCTTGCGGTGGTTCTGACAGCGCCAAAAATTGAAAAAAAACAATTTGTTTTTACACGAAATCAATTTGAAAAAACACGATTAAGAGGCATCTCTGTCACGAGAATGAAAGGGGGACAACTCATATCGAGTTATACTTAGTTAGAAAATCCAAGTTGTTTGCGTGTGTGTGTCTGTTCGTTTATATATGGGATCGGATTTCCTACATTTTTCAACCAATTTCAACAAAACTTCACTTTTGGTTTTGGCAGGTAGTGTTTCTTAATTTCTTGCACACTTTTTTCTTTATTTTTACATTCAGAATGCTTTAAAAATTCCATTTAGAAGACAATTGTTTATAATAAAATTCTATTCAATCGGTAGACTCATAACGATTGAAAACAATGTTTTTGTTTGAGTTTGGGTTTGACCAATTCGTAAAAAAAAACAAAAAAAAAAAACAAAACAAAAAAAATACTAATTAAGACATGCGTGTCCGTCAACCTTAAACAATAATCTTTGTCAATTTTAATTTTTCAATCTTTATGATGGTCTATACGTCTGTGTATTATTTAATTTATTGTAATGTATTTGTCATCTCTGATGATGGCTTATGTAAGCCGAAAGCTTAGACAGGATTAAAAAAAAAGCATATATCAATATGGTGATTTTCTTTCGTCTTTCAATGATAATGTTATTAATTAAATCAGACGATATAAAAAAATTTGCTTAAAATTTATAGACAAAACTAATTAAAACAATGAAAAATGCTGCCTAAATACACTTTCATTATATATATATATATATATATATATATATATATATATATATATATATATATATATATATTTGACAATATTTTGCGGCACAATTATGATTTTTCTTTTTGCCGCGTCTCGGCGGTTTGAATCAATGTTACAGATATTGACTCATTAGAGTATATATTTCTGTAAAATTTTTTCATAAACGAGGTATCTCATAGCCTTTTTTTATATGAATGATTCATATAATGCTTATATTTGTTAACCTTAGAGCTTTAAGACTAACCTGCCTGCTGATTAGGGGAGGTACTACTGGGGAGGTCCTCATGGTCTTTCAGACTTCTAACTCCCCTCTTCGGCCTTGGAGAACCCGATTAATGCCATTCAAATTTTAAGAGGAATATTGAAATTTGTGTATTCAATGGCAAAGCAGTTTGTACTTCTATCTGTTGAAATTTATAAAATCTTTCTCTCAAAACAATTTTTCAAGAAAATATGTTTCTCAAGCCCAGTAGCTGTTATTACTCTTTCCAGTATTGATGGGCCGTTTCCTTCTTAATCTTTTGTTTGAAGTAGTGTGGAATGTCAATATCTTGATTATATCATTATTTTCTCTTCCACTTATAAAATCTTTCTTTGAAAATAATTTTTTCAGTTAAATAGGTTTCTCAAGTCCAGTAGCTGTTATCGCTCTTTCCAGTATTGATGGGCCGTTTCCTTCCTAACCTTTTCTTTGAAGTAGTGTGGAATATCAACATCTTAGTGATGTCATTATTTTCTCTTCCAGTTACTATCAGTGCTATCAATTTTAGTTATTGCTGCTGTTGAAAATCCTCAAGTGATGTGGTTTCTGTTATTTGGTACAGTTCTTTAATTGTGATTCTGTAGCGCCAGAGGACCTTTGTTTCGTTTCCAGTTTAATCTCCAGGTTTTGCTATAGTTTATCAATCAAAATGAAAAAATGCTTCAAGACAAAACACAAAAAGAATTTAAAAAATTCTGCAAATGCCAACCGACGTTTACTTTCGATATTCTTTTTGATCTCCATTCAAATTTTCGCACTTAACAAACAACGCCATGCCCAACACCTTCCCGATATATCTCTAATTCGTTTTTTTGTTGGTTGGTAAGCCTTTTTTCAAAACATTTCGCATTTGAAACCAGGTGTGCCAAAAAAAACAAAGAATAATTTATTAATTATTTTGAAAATTAAAAAACATCATTATTTTTAAAACGCTAGAATCATCGAATAAATGGCTTCGAAGCCTAAGTCAAGTTTTTGGCATTTCATATTTTAAACTGTTTTTATTTCTGAGATTTGAAAATTTTAATTATTTTTTATTTATATTGTTCGAACTTCATGTCCTCTTTCTTTATTTCCATATTTAAATATCCCCCATTTTATCCGTTGCATTCGGCCTTTTCAAAAACATTTGTCTATATTTCTGAGATGAGGTATTGATATAATTATTTAAATTATTTTTTTATTGTTCGGACTGTTGTCCTAATCTTTATTTCCATATAAATTTGCGTTTCGGCCGTTGAAATTTTAATAATCTTTTAAATCTATCTATAATTGATGAGATGATTAAATTTTAATATTTATATTATTTATTAATTCGGACTGTTGTCCTGTATCATTCATTTCCATATATTTTTAAAAAAAAGGGTTTCAGTTTTTAACTTCATATCTTTTATATTTCTAAGATTTGATATATTGTAATTATTTAATATTATTTACATTGTTCGGACTTTTGTCGTTTAACAAAATTTATTTCCATGCTAAAAATCAATTTGAATAAATCAAAAAATAAATAATATTTTTTTTTCAGGTTATTAGAAATAAAAAATACCTGGCTTTTTCAAAAGTATGGTCAAACATTTTAAAAAAAAAAAATGAATATAAATAAATAAAATTGTGAGACACCCGGAAGAGGCATGGCAATGGAAAAAGAACAATCTAAATTGTTTCTCTTCCAAATACCAATGAAGTTATCATGAAAAAATTTTACAGAAAAATCAAAACGTTGTGAATATGACACAAACAACAATCCCCAGGATAATTTTTCCTAATGGACTTGTTTTTTTTAAAATTTCAGGAAGGACATGTAATTATTAAAAATGATTTCCAGAGATTCCATAACTTGAAAGAATTTGTTTTTTTTTTATTGCTTTTTTTTTTTTTTTTATCATTTTTTTTTTTTTGGTTTATTTTTAAACTTTTTTTATATTTGGGTTATTGAGTTATTTATTGAAATTAATAATTATTTTTCATTATTTCTGAAAATTTTAAAAAACCAATAAATTATAAAAGGGAAAATTTGGATTCATCATGCCTCTTTTAAAAAGTTTTGCAACCTGATTTGAATTCAAACTTGTCTTGGAATTTCTCATTTAGAAAATTTTATTCCACGATAAAAATTTAAATGAGAAAAAAATATATGGAAAAAATATCCCAGCGTTTTCATTCTATCTAGGTAATGACTAGGTTCTTCATTGCTTTCTTTTGGTACGTCCTAACCAATTTTAAACTCATATTCGTAAAGGAATTTACAAAAAAATTTTTTTTTGTAGTTTATGCATTCCTTTTTCACCTTTGAGATAGTTTTGATTTTTTTAAAAGTATTATTTTACACCCCCAAGAACATTTAGACAGTCATAATGTTTTCTATTTAGCCATGGAAAAATGCAAACTTTCAAATTAATTCCTGGTTTGGCCATTTTCTTTTTTCCACGTAACTTAAAATGGGCTGTTAGTTTCCTATTTTTTGTATCAATACATTCCCTTTCGGCGAAAAAGTTTTTCCAATTGACATCATCTTCTTTGACCTTTCCTATTATGGAACCAACTCTCATTTTCATATATTTCCAAATCTTCGATACAATTTTCTTTCTTCAAATCTTTCGCGTTAAAGTTATTCATTTGGTTTTTAAACGATTATAAACGTTATCCCCTTTGACCTTTGAAACTTTTTTATTTATGAATTTTACTTTAAAAAAATATATATATTTTTCTTAAACTCAGTAGAAAATTATTTGTTAATGGTGGTTTTTGTCAAACTGAACCCTTTATTTCTCAAAAAACATGGCACAAATAAAGGCGTTGGTTAGATCCACTGACAGGACCCAAAGAGTTGTGAGTTCAATTCCCTTTCTTTATAGAATTTCAGAGAAAAAATTAACAGGAGATAACTTTCCATCCATTAAACATGGCACCATGGATTTAAGACAAATCTGACCCCATGGTGAGCGGAGTAAATATTCATATATCGACATTTTTATTGAAGAAGACCCTTTATTTTGACGGCCTTCGTTATGTTTTAAATATGGCGACAAAGATAAGTATTTGTAGTCCTAATCTTTAATTTCTTACTTTTTGAAGAACTAGTGGAATAATGTTTTTTCTCTTTTTGGAAAAAATTGAATGTTTCTTTAAGAATAAATGTCGGTATTTGTTTTTAATTTGAACTGATTCCTCGAAGGGGAGGAGTTTGTTTTATGTCGGAAGAAAATTCTTCCTTTTCTTTTTTCTTTTATTTCTATTCCTTCTTCACGCACCCTGCTAAATCCTTTGTACGGAGAAGTTGTTTTCTGTTGTTGTTTTTTTTTTCCTTTTTATTTTTTTTATTTTAACTTTCTTTTCAACTTTAAAGAATTCCTTTTTTTCATCTTCCTTTTTTTTGGGAGTTTTTCTTTCATTCCTTCCTTTTCTTTTAGTGTTTTCCTTTTTTTTAAACAATATTTCGTTCTTTTTAACTTGAGTTGCGAAAAAAAAATTTTTTTTTCTTTCCTTAAATACCGAATCGGTTTTTTTTCCTTTTTTATTGTTTTTTTTTTTTTTTTTCCAATCAAGTCTTGAGTCTTCCATCAAGTTTCCTTTGAGTCTTTTTCTGTAAACAGTTTTTTTCCAATCCTTTTTTTTTGATTCGTTAACTGAGACATCTTTTAAATCTTTTTCTTATAGAAAATCGGCTTTCTTTCTTCCTTTTTTTTTTTTTCCTTCCTGGGAAGATCTTTCCTTATTTTTTCCACGTCTTTCTTTTCCTTTCTTTCCTTCCTTCCTTCCTTCCTTTCTTTTTCTTTTCCTTCCTTCCTTCCTTCCTTCCTTCCTTCTTTTTCTTCCTTCCTTCCTTCTTTCCAAAATTTTCCCTTTTTCCTTTTTCTTTCCTTCCTTCCTTCCTTTTCCTTCCTTCTTTCCTTCCTTCCTTTCTTCTTTTCTTCCTTCCTTCCTTTTCTTTCTTCCTTCCTTTTTTCCTTTCTTCCTTCCTTCCTTTCTTTCTTTCCTTCCTTCTTTCTTTTCCTTCCTTCCTTCCTTCCTTCCTTCCTTCCTTTTCCTTCCTTCCTTCCTTCCTTCCTTCCTTCCTTCCTTTTCCTTCCTTCCTTCCTTTTTCCTTCCTTCCTTCCTTTTCTTTTTCCTTCTTTCCTTCTTTCCTTCTTTCCTTCTTTCCTTCCTTCTTTCTTTTCCTTCCTTCCTTCCTTCCTTCCTTCCTTCCTTTTCCTTTTTTTCCTTCCTTCCTTCCTTCCTTCCTTCCTTTCCTTCTTTCCTTCCTTTTTTCCTTTCTTCCTTCCTTCTTTTTTCTTTCTTCTTTTTTCTTCCTTCCTTCCTTCCTTCCTTCCTTCCTTCCTTCCTTCCTTTCCTTCATTCCTTTTCTTCCTTCCTTCCTTCCTTCCTTCCTTTCCTTCCTTCCTTCCTTCCTTCCTTCTTTTCTTCCTTCCTTCCTTCCTTCCTTCCTTCCTTCCTTTTTTCTTTCTTCCTTCCTTCTTCTTCTTTCCTTCCTTCCTTCCTTCCTTCCTTCCTTCCTTCCTTCCTTCCTTCCTTCCTTCCTTCTTTTTCTTTCTTTCTTTCCTTCCTTCCTTCCTTTCTTCCTTCCTTCCTTCCTTCCTTCCTTTTTCCTTCCTTTTCTTTCTTTCCTTCTTCCTCCTTCCTTCCTTCCTTCCTTTTTCCTTTTTCCTTCTTCCTTCCTTCCTTCTTCCTTTCTTTCCTTCCTTCTTTCCTTCCTTCCTTCCTTTCTTTCCTTTTTTTCTTCCTTTCTTTCCTTTCTTCCTTCTTTCCTTCCTTCCTTTTTTTTCTTTCTTCCTTTCTTCCTTCCTTCCTTTTTCCTTCCTTCTTCCTTCCTTCCTTCCTTCCTTCCTTTTCTTTCTTTCTTCCTTCCTTCCTTCCTTCCTTTTTTTCCTTCCTTCCTTCCTTTTCCTTCCTTTTCCTTCCTTCCTTTCTTTCTTCCTTCCTTCCTTTTTTTTTTTTCCTTTCTTTCCTTCCTTCCTTCCTTCCTTCCTTTTTTCTTCTTCTTTCTTCCTTCCTTTTTTTTTTTCCTTCCTTTTTTTTTCCTTCCTTCCTTCCTTCCTTCCTTCCTTTCCTTTTTTCCTTCCTTTTTTCTTTCTTTCTTTCCTTTTTTTTTTCCTTCTTTCCTTCCTTCCTTCCTTTCCTTCCTTTTCTTCCTTTTCTTTTTTCTTTTTTCCTTCCTTCCTTCCTTTTCTTTTTTTCCTTCCTTCCTTTCCTTCCTTTCCTTCCTTCTTTTCTTCCCTTTCTTCCTTTCTTTCTTTCCTTCCTTCCTTCCTTCCTTCCTTTTTTTTTCCTTCCTTCCTTTTTCTTTCCTTCCTTCCTTCCTTCCTTCCTTCTTTCCTTCCTTCTTTCCTTCCTCCTTTCCTTCCTTTTTTCCTTCCTTTTCCTTCCTTCCTTCCTTCCTTCCTTTCCTTCCTTTTTTCTTCCTTCCTTTCCTTCTTCCTTTTTTTTCCTTTTCCTTTTTTTTTCCTTCCTTCCTTCCTTCCTTCTTCCTTTTTCCTTTCCTTCCTTCCTTCCTTTCCTTTCTTCCTTTCCTTTTCCTTTCCTTCCTTCCTTTCTTTCCTTTTTCTTTCCTTCCTTTTTCTTCTTCCTTTTTCCTTCCTTTTTTTCCTTCCTTTTTTTCCTTCTTCCTTCTTTCCTTTTTTTTTTTTCCTTCCTTTCCTTCCTTCCTTTCTTCCTTCCTTCCTTCTTCCTTTTTTTTTTTTCTTTCCTTCCTTCTTTCTTTTTTTTTCCTTCCTTCCTTCTTTTTTTTTTCCTTTCCTTCTTTCCTTCTTTCCTTCCTTCCTTCCTTCCTTCTTTCCTTCCTTTTTTCTTTCTTTTCTTTCCTTCCTTCCTTCCTTTCCTTCCTTCTTTTTTTTTTCCTTCCTTCCTTTCTTTTTTTCCTTCCTTCCTTCCTTTTTTTCCTTCCTTCTTTTTTTTTTTTTCTTTCCTTTCTTCCTTCCTTTTTTCCTTAAATTTCCTTTTTTTCCTTTTTTCCTTCCTTCCTTTTTTTCTTCCTTTCCTTCTTTTTTCATTCTTTCCTTTTCCATCCTTCCTTCAATTCCTTCCTTCCTTCCTTTCCTTCTCTTCTTCCTTCTTCCTTCCTCCTTTTCCTTTTCTTTTCTTTCTTTCTTCCATCCTTTCTTTCTTCCTTCCTTTCTTTCCTTCCTTCCTTCTTTCTTTCCTATCTCTTTTCATCCAATCCTTCAATCCTTTTCCTTCCTTCCTTTAAAATCTTTCTTCCTTCCTTTTTCTTCCTTCCTTTCTTCCCTTCATCCTTCATATCTTTTTCTTCCTTCCAAATTTATATTTTCTTCCTTCCTTCCTCCTTCCTTCCTTCCTTCCTTCCTTCCTTCCTTTATTTTTAATTTTTTCCTTCCTTTTCCTTTTATCAAATAAAATTCATTTTCATTTTCTGATTCTTATTTTTTTATTCTCAACCTTCATCTTTCCTTTTTTTTTTCATCCTTCTATTTAAAAAAAATTTCTTTCTCCTTTTCTATTTCTTTACCTTTAGTTTTCCTTATTCTTTCTTCCTTTGGTTGAATCAAAGTTTCTTATTTTTTCTGTCTTTTATAATTTTCCCTTTTCATCATATCTATCTTTTAATTTATTTATGTTTTTTCTAAATAAAAAAAAATAAAAAAAATTTTTTTTTTTTAAAATTTTTTTTTTTTTTTTTTCCTTTTTTAAATTTAATTTTCTTTTTTTTCTTCAAATCCTCCTTTTTTTTTTTTTTTGGTTCAAAAATGATCTTTTTGTGTTAATCTGAAAGAATGAAAAATTTAAAAAATTTTTTTTTTTCATTGTTTTCATTTTTTTTTGTTACAATCAAAAATAAAAAAAATTCCTTTCATTCCTTCATCACTTTTTACCGGAATATTTTTTTTTTTTAAAAGAAAAACCTTTTCTTCCTTCTAAATTTTATGTCATTTTTTTTAATGGAAATTTTTCGGAAAATTTTTAAAAGAAACTCCTTTTTTTCCTTTTTTTTCCAGATATCTTTCTTCAATCTATATTCTAAAAATTGAAATTTTGGCCTTTTTATAAATCGGATTTCTATACTTCTCTTTTATGAATTTATTTCAAAATCTTTTCTTCGTTTTTTTTTTTGTATTCATTTTCAAATTTTCTTTAAAATCCCTTTTTTTTCTATTTATTTTGATAAATTTTCCAATTTTGATTTTTTTTTTTGATTCCTTCCAGTCGATCAATCGATTTCTTTAAAAAAATAAATTAAAAAGTAGACCATTTATCATTCATCTTTAATCTAAATTTAATTTTACTAATTTTGGACGCATTCCAAAAGAATAGAGACATTAATATTTTTTAAAAATAGGATCGTTCAAAAGATTTTTAGTTTTCTATATAGATTAGTTTTTACAAATTCCTGAATTTTTTTTTTTTTTTCATTCAAACCTGTTAAGATAAATAAAATGAAAACAACAAGAAAAACACTCATATCAATCCAGGTATTTTTTCTTTGTCAGGATGTTGAAAATATCTATTTTTTCATTTTTTATTCGATGATTGAATGTTTTTCAGATGAAAAAAAAAATCATTCATCATAAACCAGGTTAATTTTTTTCAATAAATAAATTTTCAGTTCAAAATTGATCTGTTTAACGGATAGATCACAAGAACAAAATTATCATTCCTTTTCTCAAAAAATCGAAGAGAAAGATTCAAGAAGCAAGTTTTTTTTTTTTTAGGGTTTATATATTTATTTGAAAATCTTCTCACTCATTTATTCAGTTTTTCTTTCTTCTTCTTCTTTTTATTATTACAATTTGTGTATACATTGAAAATTTTTTTCTGCTTTGTATATTTTTATATCAAAACAAATCCAATTATTTAAAACTAAAAAAAAAATACAATTATCATTTAATTTATTTTTCTTTTCTAAAATAGATATTAAAATTTAAAAAAATCTCTCATTTTGGGAAATTATATGGAAATTAAATTATATATTCTTATAAATTTTTATAATTAAAATTAAGAAAATCTTTTCTTCTTTATAACTATTTATAATTTTCAAATCTTTAAAAAATTAAAATTTTCCTTTCCATTTCCTACTCATTTAAAAAAAGATAAAGGCTGAAAAATATTTCTAATTACATTTTATAAAAAATTTAGATAAATATCAAATAATATATATAATTTTAAATAAATACAAAAAAACATTTTGTATTTGTATAATTTTCCTATTTTTTTCATGGAAAAATTATTTTAAAATAAACAATCAGTAACATTATTTGTTTAAAAATTTTTTAAAAATAAAATTTTTTTTTTGTAACATAAAAAAAAAAAAAATCCTATATTTATAAAAAATATATATTCATATAAATAAAAAATCAAATATAAATGGAATTTCATTTATATTAAATGTTTTGATTTTTAAATTTCTGTACATTGTCATAAAAATTAGTTATTTAAATTTAAAAAAAAAAAAAAAATTAAATAAGAAAACTCACTTATGTTAAATGGCTTAATTAATTTTCCAGTTTATTCTATACAAAAAACTTTCATGAAAATAAATAATAAATAAAAAAATATAATTTAAATTTTTTTAAATGGTACTCAAATCAAAATTAACGAAATTTTTAAAAAATAAAAACGAAACATTTGGAATAAAAAATGTAAAATCATTTTATAAGACGAATCGAATCTTCTTATTCCTTCCACCTCTATTACAATTTCCTATAACTTTAAAATAGAATCATCTATATATTTCGTAAATTTATAAAAAAAAAAAAAAAATATCCAATTTTTCAAAAAAAATTAATTGGATATTAAAAATAATTAATTCACTATATCAAAATTATTCAGTTCATTATTATAAATAAAAAATTTTTTTGTAAAAATTAAACAAAAAAAAAATCGACTTAGATAAAATAATTATTGAAACTTTCTATATATTTAAAAACGATTCGAACTTAATGTTCTCCAATTATTATATATATTAATATATATATTTTTAATAACGATTAATTGATATTGAATTTGAAAATTTCGTTGATAACACGATTCGGCTCTCAGATTATGATATAGTGTAATAAATTATTTATATATAAGATATAATAATTGTCGGATAATATTCATTTTCAAAAATTCAAATAAAACTAAATTGCTAATAATCCGTAATAAGAAAACAAATTCTTACCATGTTAAAAAAGACTGTCTTTGTTTATATTTACTGTTTTCAAATTAACTTTACAATCGAAAATTTTGAATTTAAAAACCGATTTTAATCTAAAATGAAAAAATTTCTCTTTATTTAAGATTTTGCGTTGGTTAAAAATCAAAATATTTATTTGAAAGGTTTCTCAAACATTGGAATATATCGATTTAATGATATAAAAGTATATTATATATTCATAATGAAGATCTCCGGTTCGAAAGGAAAAAAATTTAAATTTCTTCTATATATTTAAGGATTTTATTTGAGAATTTTTTTAATTAATATATATTATGTAAATAAATTATTCATATAACAATTTATCCATAAATAACTTATATACATTTATATATATATATATATTGATAAATAAAATTTATTTATAAATTATTGATTTTCCTATTCTATATATAATATATATATTTTTAATATATTATTTAAATTTATTTTAATATTTTTATATCTGACTTGTCATTTGCCTTGGATTATGATTCGTATGGAACATTTATATATATATATATATATATATAAATATGTGTGTGTGTGTGTGTGTGTGTGTGTGTGTGTGTGTGTGTGTGTGTGTGTGTGTAACGAATGCACGGCCGCAATTTTCGACGGATTTGCACCAAAATTTACATGCACATGCTCCAAGTTAGTGGGAAGGCCAAGACCGACTTTGCATTTCCCAACTCCCATCGATAGTGGAAATAATCGATTTTTTCATGCTTCTACGGCAGTTTTCATGTAGTTTGCGGCCATTTTCTACTGGCCAGAGTGAGAGCCTATAGCTGGCTGCCACGAATAGGCAGGAAGATTCTATTGGCCAGCGTGAGAGCCAACAGCTGACTGACACGAATGTTAACTAGCATGCTAGCATGCAAAAAAATCGATAGCTGCATTCGTCACAAGTGGGAAAAAATTTAAATCTGCATGGCACTTTACTCCAATTGGCTCATTCGCTTGCTTAAACTCAACGTTGATTCTGATTCCGCAGAACTGGGTTGGGTGTGAAAAAGTATTTGTTGTTAACATTCTTTTTTCATTTGGTTTTTCCAGTTACGAGTCCTTTTTTTTTAAGCTGATCGTTTTGTGTTCATTTTGTTTAGTTCTTTTTCGTAACAGATTTAATGTTTAGTATAGAGCTTAGAAAAAATTCGCAGTGTGAGATAGGCAAGAAGTAAGGCATGTAGCAACATCATCACGGCAAAGGGCACTCCTTTAAAGGCAAGGAAGGTCAAAAATATTTTAAGTCAAGTGAAGTGATTGCGTATTGTCTGATATTTGAATCAAGTACGATTTTTTTGAATAAAATATATCCAGTTTGATGCCCAGTACTATAATATTTGACTACGTTAGGCTCGCGAGTATAGCTCAGAAGCTGGACCGTACTATAAATGCACTATATGAAAAATTCACAAAAAAGATCTCACTATATAGAAAGTAGACTTATACATGAGTAGATACGGTATACGATGGTTATTAGCACGCTTCTGTCACACTACATCTTTGTTGTATTGCCACCTCTTCATACATGGGCTCATTGGGTCCTCCCTGGGTGCCTCATAATGCTTCGTAATACACCTTTATATATGAGGAAAATGTCCAGCATTCCCTGCTATAGGTTGATTGATATTACGTCGTAGTTCAGTACGCTAATTCTTTGTTTGTCGCGAATCCTTGGCGTTTCTTTAACTTTTGGCTTCGCTTCAGGAACTGTTAGTAAAACTGTCCTTTCCTTTTCCCACGAGACCCAGAGAAGATGAAGAAGGCAGTGATTTTTCTTTTCAGGTTGGTATATTTTTATTTGTCAAATCTTCCACCTTCTTCTTCTTCTTCTTCTTCTTCTTCTTCTTCTTCTTCTTCTACTACTACTACTACTACCATTATTATTATTATTAAGAGGAAAGGAGAAAGACTGCACTCTCATCGCAGTAGTGGTGATGGTGTTAGACCTGCCATTATTATTATTATTATTATTATTATTTGTGTATGTTATGATTCCTGCTTTGTATCCCGTAGAGCCGGGTCCAAACTATGTTTCCTTAGCCCCTATAGGAGAATTGTCATTTAATTACTAGCACTTTTCTTACAATATGGGATGTTCCTAGTAGGGCGATCTTCTGGGCAACTTGTATGTTAATGTTACCTGGGACACTGTTACTAAAATTGTCCATTCCTTTTCTCACGAGTCCCAGTGTTCCGATTACTATTGGTACAGTCTCAGTCTTCATTCCCCACATCCTGTTAATCTCGATCTCCAGGTCCTTGTAATTGGACGATTTCTCAATAATTTTCATAGAGGTGTTTCTCTCAGATGGTTTTGCTATGTCAATAAGCATAGATTTC